TATTGTTAAGCTCTAATGAAGAATATATATAAAGCAGATATGATTATATTATCAGTAAGGTCAAAATTACAGGAAGACTTTATATTTTCACTTGCTTAAATACTGAATGATGTTGATGAAATGCTAAAGTGAGTTGTTGTGCAGATAATGATTTAATATAGATTTTGAAATACAGAAGTAAAGAGATTGTTACTCACATTACAGGCCTGTTGTGTTGTAACAAGCATGAGTGTCACACACTGGATAGGACACCTAAATGAAAGTCTTGTGGAGAAATTGCTTCATGGTGTTGTTGTGAGGGTTCTCACAGGGACCAGACACAAGGGGGCCATGGAGGCTGCCAGAGCTTCTTATGGTCAGCTCTGTTCCGTTCTCCTCGGCAGCAGCAACAACTTCGGTCATCTCATATACAAGCAGGTGTGTTCTGAGAGATTCCTTTATCTGAGGTAGTAGAGAAGAGAGTTGTTTGAGTATTGTAGTATTGTGTATATATAATGAAGAGTCTCTATAGTTAGTTCCTGTTTCATTCATAGTTGATTTCATGTACAGATGAAAAAATAAGAGATTAATGATGGACTTTACAAGGGGTTTATTTATATTTTTGTGTGCATTTTTAATTTCATCTTTAGTTTAGTTATTATTATTAATTTTACCATTTCTGTAAGTTAGTAAAAAATATTCTATGTTATTTTGCAAGTTCATATAAACTCATGCTTCAGCTGCTGTATTAGTTATTGCTGTATTAGTCTTCAAACCTAGACCACTTTATTTCTATCCACAGGTGAATGAAGTCCTTGATCACATAGAATCGGGAGCTCAAACCTCAGTGACTCGTCGTGCAGCAGGAATTGCAATGATGATGCAGGTCGCCTGTGGGGCAGCACCGCGCACTAATGTTGATCTCATTAATACAACAGTTTTGAGGCTAATCCACATCAGCCAGGCAGAGGTTTGTTAATAGAAATTATCCGTAAAGTACAGTTTCTAGAACAATAAAAGATATATATATGGGCAAATAAATTCATAGTTTTAAATGCTTGTGGTCATTACTATTACCATCTACATATGATAATTTGAACCATATTCATGTTGACAAATGTAGAAAAGGTATGAATGAGAATAAATATCTTCACAATACAAGAGATGTATTTGACCAGTTTCTATTATATCTTCATCAGAAAGACATGAAACATCGAAACTGGTCAAATACATCTCTTGTATTCATTCTCATTCATACCTTTTCTACATATGATAATTTGTTACCAAAGGTTGCTTGTGATGCATGGAAAGAGAGAAGAGTGTGGGATCAAGTGGATGAGGTGGAGAATAGTGATAATTTCCTTGCCATACAATTTCTTTAAGACTTTAGACAGACTTGTCATTTGACAATATAGTAACCCCCAGATGCAGTAGTATAGCTGTGTCTATACAAAGGGCAGTGCCATTGCCCCTTATGTGCAACATAATGTGGGATGAACATAGGGTGGTGGACAAACATCAAAATGCCCTTGCTTGGTCTGCCATCTGAACACAAAATAAATGTACCCCATTGTGGCTAAAACCTGCAGTCCAGGCATTGCTGTCTAAGAACACTGTCCTGTGTGAGCCTCAATTTACTTTACATTTACCTTACTGTCAGGATAAAGAATTTTTACCACAGGAATCATATTTATCTTAATTGAAACTAGTTGTATTAGTAAATCTCCACAATAAGAACAAATTATGTCCTTAATACAGTGTATGTAATGAGTAATTTTTTTCACTGGATTATAACATGGTAAACAGTTATGGTAAAAGTTTTGGATTTTTCATTTGAGAAAGAACCAAAATAAATGTCTAAGCGCATCCAATTTTCATGGATCTCAGTTTTCATGTAAGGAGTTAAATTTTGTAAAGTCAGAAGCTATGTTTGTGTTTAGCTGTAAGGCATAAACATTGTTATTGACTATAAAAATGCCCAATTTCTCCATAGTTTAAGAAGTATGTCATTATACAGATTTTTTTTCTTCTAAAATTTGTACAGTATGAAGAACAAAACACAGTAGATGCGTCTCCAGTTCTGGCACTTCACATGCTGCAGTCTCTGGTGTTGCATGCTCCCTTAGCACACCATCTGCTTCTCCATCTCCCTGCCATAACCAGTACCTGTCTGCAGGCCTTCACCAACCACTCATGGGCACTAAGGTAAGGGTCTTTGCGTCTTCTGCTCCTGTGTCAGATGCGAATACCAGAAAATGAGATTCAGGGATAGGAACAAAGACCTTTTTTTTTCTTTCTTTCTCTCTTTCTTTCTTTTTTTTCTTTTTTTTTTTGACTACTAAAAGTCAAGTAGTAATTGCAGAAAGGCCATTTCACACTGCACTTTGCCTGTTTTGTCCCTTGGCTGCCCATCCTAACCTGTCTCTCAGAATTGTCCGTTATAACCTACTCTTGGCAAGTCCAATGCTTTAGTAACCTATCATAAACTTTGTCTTTTTACATTTTTTGTTATAGAAAATCATGGCTTCTTGACCTTAGGCCTTTTGGTTGTCCATTCCTGCCCACATCAAGCCAGCAGCTTTAGGCCTAATTTTAGCCATGTTTGTTCAGTGACGTAAATATTGATATTAGCTTGAAAAACTTGTCTCCTGGCATAGAAAATCATGCCTCGTCGCTTGGCTGCCCATTCTAACTTATTACATCTACCCAATCAAAAGTATAGAAAGTATAACTGCTTGGTCCTGATGTGGGTTAGAATCAGAAAAATGCCTTGAGGTGTGTAAAGTAGTATAAATAAAAAAATGCCATTGGTGAAAGTTGAAAAACTGCTGACTTGTTAGCTAGGGGTCACAGCTGTCTAGCAGAGGCCAAGGATATCAAAACCCTAGAATTGGCTCAAAATAACAAACCATGTTTTCTTTTATCTAGATTTATGATACCAAAAAAGAATAGTGAAAATACAGTTCACTGTTCATATAAAATATGATTGACAGATTAATTGTATTTTATTTCTTCTTGTTTCCTCTTGTTTTTCTCTTTTTTTTTTACAGGAATGCTGCTCTGCAACTGTATGGTGCTGTGGTGCCACGGATGGTTGGCCAGAAGAAGGTACGAGATGATTCATCTGTGCTGAATAGTCTGACAGCACCAGAGTTCCTCGCCAGACACCCATCTCTGGCTCAATCCCTGCTGAAGATGCTCATGGAACCAGGAGTTATGAAAGAAGAGTCATACCAAGATAAGGAGAGGACTTCAGACTCTGAGATTACAGAGGAAAGGAGCCCCTGTAAGGTTGCCAATGAGCCTGGGGATAGTATGTCTATTAAGGTGTCCTCTAGCTTAGTACCAGTGCTCAGCTTGTTAGCAAGATTGTCACCAGGTACAGGATTACAACAGAATGCTGAGGTTAATGACATACTCCAGCATTACCGTACTGAGACAACACGACTTTTAGAATCACCCATACACACTGTGCGCCGATTAGCCTCTCTGGCTGTTGTTGCTCTTACTCCATCAGAAGAGGTGTTACAACTTGTTCATAGACATGTTGAACTTCTGGAGAGACATGGTAAAATAACCAATAATGAAACTCATGGAAGTCTTTTGACATTAATGAATATCTTGACAAGCTACCCAGACATCCAAAATAACACTACAGTAAAAGGAAAGATAACTACAGTATTGTTAAGCCTGATTAACTCAGAAAATAGATGTTATGTTAACACTGTCCTTGCAGTGAGAATTTGCCAGTTGCTTAAAACAAATGTTAATTTCGAGAAATCTGTGGCACTGCACGACACTCATCCAGGAGCAGCAGAGTACTTTCTGCTCCTGAGCAAAATGAAAATGAAAGAAGTAACTGAGAATGAAATGAGAAAATATTTAATATCTTGGATATCAGATCATGATATGGAAGAAGTCTGTTATGATTATATACAGGAACACATTGGACAATATAAGAATAGCCCATGGTTGAAAGATATTGAAAAGCTCCTGTGGAAAAAGCTGGAACATCATACCACAGTATGCTGGAGTCCAGTTTTAAACACTCTTCATTCAGTTATCAAAGAGCAAGGATATGTAACCCACACACCATCTACAGATAGCTTAAAGAGTATTTTGCATTTGCTCAAGGGATACCACGGTGTTAAAGTAGCAGCTCAAACTCTCAGGGTTGTGTCATATCTTTTTAAATGTATAAGCTGCAATCAGTGGCCAAACACAGAGGTCAGAACAGAGATATTAAGTGCTTTCTCATCATTAGTCAGTAAATATGCAGCACCAACCTCTACTGAAGATTACCGCTTGGCGGCAAGTGATGCTTTGAGGGTTGCCCTGAGAACATTGTTATTTTGTGAGCCTAAGTTGCACCCTCTCTACTGTGAACATCTAGTCTATGCCTGTGTGGAGCTTCTGCAAGATGAAGATTCCACCATCAGAGATTCTGCTTGTCACATAGTGGAGTCTCTGAGGCAAAACGGGCAGTCAGAATCTGGAAGAGGATTCCACAGAAACAAATGATTTACCTGCAGAAACCATTCATTTACTGCATCCAAATATCTCTTTAAGGGAATATTTTGGACTCTTAGCCTCATGGAGTGCCAGTAGAAGGGACTTGGCTTTTCTAAGGATATTATGGAGAATAGCTAGCAACCAACAGCTAAGCTCTACTAAATCTACCAAGGATGAAGAAAGTACTGTAAAACCCAAGTCATATCTTTTTCAGTCACATACCATGAATTTATATAAAGAGCCAAAACATGTTAGTATTATCACCTCTGAATTGTTGTTGAAAGCTCTGAAGGACCACAAGGACTCCCTGCAATATGAAGAATGTGCATGGCTTACAGAGGAGTGTCAGCTGCTTAACACACGCGGGCAGATTCTTCACAGTCAGCTGTCCAGCAGTCCAGCACTAGCCTTGCAGAAAGAGTTGCTTGTTGCAGTTAGCACATACATACATGCCTATGAGACCTTATTAGAGATAAGTACAATTTTTAATGTTCACATTGATCTTGCTTTTCCAATATCATGGAATTCTAGCAAGTTTTGCACTGTAGATTTCAAGAATTGATATTGAAAAAATAGTGTAAATTATTTTTAAGAGTAAATGAATTGAGTTGAAACAAATATAATTTTTCATTTCCAAACCTCATTCTATTTCCAGTTTGATCAAGGATGGAAAAGTCTTTCCATTCATTTATTCTTTCCCTTTTGTGCTTGTAATTGTATGATTCACAGTGTGTAAATCATGCTATTGGCCAGGAAGCATGGTAGCAGGAGTGTTCATTTATGAAAGATGTTGATGGATATTCATGAAAAGAAGCTTATAAAAAGTCCTAAGAATTATTGTAAAATAGACAAAACAGAACATTTTTTTTATGATCATCCTTATAAATAACAGTAACAACTATGATGAATGCCTCTTCAGTTCATCCAACCTAGTGACCCTTCCAGTAACCTCTACAACAGATCAGGTAGGCTTACCACTTGACTCATTGATGACTTACCACTTCTGAAGCCATCTTCTGAAGAAACAAATATTGCGGTGATTGTGGCATGTATACATGAACTCCTGAAGTCAACAGGTTAATGTAGGTGAGGTTGCTATAGGAAGTGACAACTTTAGTGTGCTAGATTCAAGTTTTGGGTTGTCTCTCTTATAGGTTAATCACTATGCATATTTTATACCTGCCTAGAAACCATATTTATTTCATTTTTTGAAAATTTTCTGTCATGTCAACATCTAAGGACATAAGCGGTGTATTCAAAATAGTGATAGCATGAGGCTTGGGGGCTTTGCCCCCAGGTAAGCAAGTGTTATGTGACATCAAAGGTCATATGGCACTATGGTGAAGTATAGTAGCAAAATGGGTTAGGAATGAGTTAATGATTAGGGTAAAGTGAAAAGTGATAAGGGGTAGAGAGTGGGTACTGATGGGGTATAGTATAGATTAAAGTTAGAAGGGGAAGGAGTTAAGAGTAGGGAATGTTACAATGAAGTATCACAGCAAAAAAGGCAAAAGTTTAACAATTAGGATAAGTGGAAAAAACAAGGGGACAAGAAAAGGAAAAGGAGAAGAGAAAAAAACACCATGGAAAATTAGTTGAGGCACGGGCTAAGGACTAAGGCAGGAGTGATCCCTTACATTGGGCCTCAGACCCCCTCTCGTAAGCCTCCCCACGACAATAATGAGCAAGGGATTAGCAATGGATCCAATTGGTGGAATATACAATGCTTTTGCTGCTGTCTAAATAAGGCACTTGGGGGCGAGACCCCAGGTAAAAAGGTTTTTGGTTCACTAGGTGATGTTAGTGGATTTCCAGCATGGTCAATGGTCAAAACAAAAATATTCATTTTTCTAATGCTATTAGTAGCAATGCTGTTTTTATTATCAAGAACATTGTGCATATTATGATTATTACTAAAACCAGCAAAAATCAAGTAAAAGGGTTAACAGAGGAGTCAATTACAGTCCTAGCTTTGTCCCTAAGCAGTTGCAAAGCCATCATTGTGTAAACACATTCTGTGCTATGGTGGGCATGGTTTGTACATACATGCTTACCTGATATTAATTGGTGAACATCTAAGTGCTCAAGCTTTAAAATAATTAAGATTTTACTAGTTCAGCTTCTAATATTATACAGAACACATCTAATTAGAAATTGAACTCCCTTAAGAATATATATGCATAGTGACACAAGCAGAGTAGCTATGTATCATAACATTCTCCTCTTGCAGTGTGCACTTGGAAAATATGACCGGGATGATCACTCTACGGTCCTTTGTATTGAGTTATACTTTTTTCCTATTTTTTCGTTTTAAAGAATTGTAACCGATTATCAAGCTATATTTATAGCAGCAAGCAGTTTACCTTAAACCGAGGAAGAGTGCAACATTTATTTGAGAAAAGGTTAAAATAAAATTCCACTTGTATATCAAAAAGGAATTTATTGTTACTGCACAAGGCAACATTAGTGCACAGTCTCACAGAACAAAGACAGCTCCATCCGCAAGAACCCTCCACTTAGGGTTTATGGTTCCCCCTTCATCATGCTTAATCCATGCCCCAGGAGACTCTCCACTCCGGTGCCCCACACAACAACAACTTAACAGACTTCTTAACCTTAACATACTGGAAGTTCTGGCAATTCTTGATCTAGAAAAGGAAAGTCTACAAAAACCAGGATTTCTCTGCAAATTTTTAACAAATGCAAAAAATATGACTATATATAAAACAGAGGGTATCTAAGTAAGAAATTTCCTAATGAACTTTCCTTTATAATGGCTTAATGGATAATCAAAATTGTTAAAGGTCATATTTATGTAGCAAAATCATTATAAAAGGTTAGATTCTTCAAAATCTTCAGCTTCTTCATCTTGTCCTGGCAGTATAAGATATGTATTCAGGAACTCCTCCACGGAATCGGTGTTCCATTTATCGATTGCCAATGTTTCCATAACATCACCATCCTCATCCATCAACTTGATGATGGGATCTGCACCTCTTACATACCTGCAAGAAACAGTCCTTTAACATCGAGAGCAAAAGAAAATGTAGGTAGATTTAATTTCTGATGGTAAAGATAGCATCCAAGGAAAATCTGTACACAAATGAACCCATTTCACACTTGTCTGAAATGTCCTTCAAGTTCCCAGACAAAACTAAGTGTTGTGGTACTTACTTAATGGTAAGATTTGGGAAAGCCGCAGGCCGGTCACTCTTAACGAATGCTGAAAATAAAATGCAAACAATTCCTTATTTCCAACAAAATAAAGATTACTACTTTTGATTATTGACATGAGTCTGAAGTAGTATTCATTGCTAACATTATCTGGACAGTAATAACCAAGTTCAAACCATTGAGAGAGAGAGAGAGAGAGGAAACAAAGAGAAAGAGGAGGAAGAAGAAAGTGGAAGGGGAGAGAGTTAAAGAATGACAGAGAGAGAGGGAAGAGTATAAGCCAAGGAAGATACAAGGCAAAATAAAAAATAAAAAAGGTAGTAAAATGGAGGAAGACAAGTTCCAGAACCCAATCAGATATTATGAACATGTGACTCTTACCCTGGACCTGCGGGAACGCTCCCAGTCGTCATCCACAGACCTCAAGGATGGCCCGCGGGTACTTCGTTGGAGTGGCATTTACATCATCCACATTGCAACACCCACGGCAATTTGCCCTGTTAGATTAAATTATTTTGTGAAAATAGGAAAAAAATATAAATCACTATAACAATATTGAAATCTTTAACATACTATTATTTTTATGCAATATCAAGAAAAATACTAACAAAATAAAAACTACTCCAAAGTCTTACTGATATTAATATTAATAAAAACCTCAAAAACTAACAAAGAGTAACCAATTATGAACTCACTCCAGTACATCAAGGTTGAACTCCTTGAGAGTATCACAAGAAGAGCACAGGAGGTTAGCCTTGTTCAGGCCGGCAGCGAAGCATTCCTCAGTCGACAGCTCCTGCACTGCCTCCACTATGGCCACCTGCAACATAGGATTAGTTATTGTGGGTGAAAGTAAATGCATCATCATCATCTGTATTAAAAAGATTAAACTAAATGGCATTCATATCAGAAAAATTACTTTATGATATTATTTCCTTCTCATAAAAAGGTTTTTTCTTACCACCATACATTATATTAAAGACAAGACTGATAGATGTTACATCATCTTTACGGTTTATTTTAAGGACACCCCCCCCAAAAAAAAAAAAAAATCAACATCTATTCTGCATCTATTAAATGAAATCCCCAGACAAAGGCCATACTACACTCAACCACCTATTGGTAAACAGGCTACTGCCACCTATGTCTGGCCAGTTGTCAACTCAGACATGTGGACAACAGTTATGGGTAGGCCTGACAGATTTTTCCAGGTGAAGACAAAGTCTGCTTGATATACGTGAGTGTGTGGGCAGAACTTTTGACTTATGGTTGACAATTATAAATGTGTAATACTATCTACTAAAATTATTACCCAAATTTACCTTACTTTTATTTGTTTGGATGAACTGACTTATGGAATCTGTATCACAATCAATAAAGAGTAATGGTGAATTCATAATTGCGTAATTAAATTCTTAAAATTGTGAAACGTATCATTTTAGCTTTATTCAAATTTATGATCCGAGTTCTAATAACCTTAAGAACTATCCTGCTGAATATACATGAGGGGAGGTTTATTGGCAATACCAAGGCAGTTAAATTACAGAAATGCCCTACACTGGCTTGGGAGAAACATTAATTGGAAAGGGAAAGGGGAAGTTTTTGGTTCATACACAGATCTTCGTGGTGGTTTGCGCTTTTAGAATGAGGATTAATGTTACCGAGAGTGATCCACAAAGACCGAGGGAAATGGGCACTGCCATCTTACAGAGCATAAGAAATAGAGTAAAAAACAGCACAGGCACATCTGCAGCGACTTCATATTTACCGCAAAATTACAAAAATATCCACTACATATCTAGAGGACCCTCACACAGCCAGAATTCTTAATGTCATGTTTTCTGAAATGCTAAAAAAAAAAAAAAAAAAAAAAAGGTACAGGTGGGCTTGTTCATTTTTCTAGGGAATAAATAGAAAGTAGGAACGGTTAGGATTGGAATTTTGGGTTCGCATGACAGCCTGGTTTTAAGCCTTCCTCTCTGTACGGTGCATCACTCTCGGTAGCAAATAAGAGAGGGTCATTTATTCATCCAATCACACTGGGGGCTTGTGTCTGACAGGTGTAGTGGTGTTGTGATCTTTTCCCCCTAAGAACAGGCCAATGGTGTTGCTTTAAGCGGTTCCATTCTGAAGACATGCCATATTCCCTGAAAATCCATCAATTTACTGACTCTATGGTTTACCTTTCGCTATATAAAATGTCTTAAAAGAAAATTATACCACATCTACGAAATTCATTAACTGACAAGTAAATAGTCCCATTTACCGGTATTTCTTGGGATATAGTGTCCTCATTAACTAATCTGAACGTAAACTGATAAATAATATTTGCTACAACAGACAAATAAACACACCTGCAAATTCTAAATTCACCAAGGGTTAAAACAAAATAAATAATTACATTTCAATATTGCAAACTAAAAAAAAAATAATAATAATCACTTCGCCACATGAGCCTCATCAATCCATCCCCTTCTTCCACAACCAACCAACAAAAAAACACCACCAACCCAGAAAAAAAACCAAAAGGACAACCATTAATCTCCCATTAAAACCACAGAATCTCCCCTACCAACGTGGCCATAAGGAAGAGGCCGATCCCGCCGCGGTCGACCATCGTGAGGCGGACGAATCGACTGAGTTGTTGGGCCTCCGCCTGCTGTCAACACACGCACTGGTCGCTCATTGGCTGGTGGTCGTGACGTCATCGATATACTTTGATCTCATTGGTCGGCTGCGGTTTTTTTTGGCTACGTCATTGAGAGGTTGTGTGTATAAAGGTAAGTTGTGTTTGCTTTGTATGTCATCTAGGGATTGGTGTATAAAGATGTTTGGTTTTTGTTTGGTGAATGTTGCAATTCTGTGTTTTGCCAGTTTTAGATGCGGACGAAAATTTATTTTTCACATATTTGGGGATTAATAAGTGCGTAGTTCTCGTGTTCAAAAGTATTACAGTTATTATTATTATTATTATTATTATTATTGTTTTATTATTACTATTATTGTTATTATTATTATTATTATTATTACTATTATTATTATTATTATTATTATTATTATTATTATTATTATCATGATTATGATTATAATTATCATTATCATCGTTAATGTTATTATCATTATCATCAATCTTAATTGTTATTATTATTATTGTTATTAATATCACAGCTATTATAATTTCTTTTCTTATTATCATAGTATGGTAATCGTTTTTATAATCACTATCATTATGTTAATTATTCTTATTATTACAATTATTATATTTATTATTATTACATCATCATCATCAATGAGTATCTACAGATATACACGTATATTCACACACTCATACACATGTATTGAAAACACACACACACACACACATATATATATGTGTGTGTGTGTGTGTGTGTGTGTGAAATGCATACATACATACTTACATACATACATACACATACACACACACACGCACGCACGCACGCACGCACACACACACACACACACACACACACACACACACACACACACACACACACACACACACACATACATACATACATACATACATACATACATACATACATACATACATACATACATACATACATACATACATACATACATACATACATACATACATACATACATACATACATACATACATACATACATACATACATACATACATACATACATACATACATACATACATACATACATACATACATACATACATACATACATACATACATACATACATACATACATACATACATACATACATACATACATACATACATACATACATACATACATACATACATACATACATACATACATACATACATACATACATACATACATACATACATACATACATACATACATACATACATACATACATACATACATACATACATACATACATACATACATACATACATACATACATACATACATACATACATACATACATACATACATACATACATACATACATACATACATACATACATACATACATACATACATACATACATGCATACATACACACACACACGCACGCACGCACGCACGCACACACACACACACACACACACACACACACACACACACACACACACACACACACACACACACACACACACACACACACACATATATATATATATATATATATATATATATATATATATATATATATATATATATATGTATACACTTCGTTCCTTCTCTGACAATGACCCTGCTTGCGCCTGAAGGAGGCAATGCCCTTGCGGGACTTGGGTTTCGTCAGCGCCCCCCTCCTGCCCTCGACGCCCTCGCCCGCCTCAGCCTCGGTCCAGCGAAAGGGAGACAGGCGCGGACTCAGGAGGGACAGGGCCGAGTCATCAAGGGAAAATGATCAGCAGGGTGTTATCACTGGATCTTAAGAATTTTTATAACTTTCGACTTGGGGAGGAAAAAGAAACATAGCTGTTCCATCGGATACACACGCAGTATGATATTTTGGTTTCATTGTAGGTCTAAGATGTATTCTGAGAGTTTGGCCCGAACTCCCACCACTGCCTTGATACGTTTAGTTTATTATTTTCTCCCCAAATGTCTGTAAAAATCGTAAATACAGTGAAGATTGACAAAATTACAACTTAATCATTGGTATATGAAAATTGATTATGTAATCAGTGTTCAATAGAAGTAACCGAAAGTTAATTAAAATCAGTTAGGAAACAACTTGTACCTGAGAATGACATGACCATTTTTGCGTTCTTATAATCTTGACATTCGATATCTGACCGATGGCTATCCATTATATCTTTTTCCTTTTAAGATAAAAGAGTAATCTAATTTGTGCA